TCACACTTAACAAGGTGTGCACAGCAGGTACGGTGATCACAATGTTTACATTGCTTGGTGCAGGTCTTGATTGTGTGACCTGGACTGGAACAGTTACTGCATTTGTAATTCTGTTTCACCCTCTCATACCCTGCTGCTTCCAAAAATTGAATTCTGTATTTCTTTAAGAGAAGCTGTCGCAAAGCAGAAATTCCTCTGTGGTTAGAGGATCTAAAGTAATTCTTAGAAGCTACATCATTATATTTCTCCATACCCTGCTGATTAAAATATGCAATGTTTTTATACAACTTTAAAAACTCAGGAACATGAAAATATAGGGCATGCATATATGGTGTGATATCTTTGGCTTGGTATAGAGACAAGAAAATCTTAAACCATCCCTCAATTTTTTCTTTAAGGTGATCAATTGACTGATCTGTTGGAAAATCAAGTTTTAAATCACCAATGATGTCCATGAACCCACCCCATAGTAACTGAAGCTTTTCTGAATTGTTGTAACCAGGCAAAAGAGAAGAGAACTGAATATTTTGCATGACCTTTAGTTTTTCAGGACCCGTGAGATCTCTATAGTCCAGTTTTTTTGTGTCTTTGTTTATTCTCCACTCAAAAGAAATGCCAAGGGTTTTGAGAAACGTTTCATATGCTGCCATATGTTTAAATTTCTCTCGAGAAAAACCATTGTGAAATGTTGTTATCTTCTCACAAGCATCCTTTCTCCTTAATTCCCTGATTAAAAGTTCTGTTAAATTATCTGATATGCGGAGAAATAAATGTAAGGTATCAATAATGACATGATCAATTGGTATGAAATTAAATAATGGAGTTGCTTTGCAATTAAACTTTTTTGATTTGGCAAAGCTTGAAATTTCCTCCAGTGATCTGGCACCCTGAGCACTGTTAGAAAGTGACCATACCCTTTGGATGTCATGTCTCTGGTTGCGAGGGCATTTGCACCAGATACAGGCGTAGTCTTGGTTAGCAGCCCCCAACCCACAGACACATGCCAGGAACTTCCAATCCCCACCGAGAAAGTATTCAATATTATAGGTTTTACCCTCAACTGTTACCTTATTTAATTTCGACATTTCTTGTGTTAAATCAGAGAGACTTTCCTTCAGATTGTCATAGTTTTCACTTGTCTTGAGTATAGCCAGAACATAATTGCCCTTCTCACTCATTGCAGCCTCTTTCTCATTTAAAATTGTATATGTTACATTTACTAGCTTAAGTCTTTTTCCAATGTTTGTGCCATCTCCACTTATCTTCACCCCAATGGTATCTCCTTCTAAATCTCCTTTCCTTTGTAAGTTGGCAATTTGTTCCTTGAGGCTTTCTTTGAAGCTGATTTGCACCCCTTCTGCTTGACCAGGGGTATCTCTTATTTTCCATTGCTGGTTTAATTCATTTATCTTTTGAGTTGTCTTGTAAGTATTTGGTATTGTTTTAGATCTCAATGCCATTTCATGCCATGCATCATTGGAAATATTGAATTTGTCCTTGATGTAAATCCAGTAGTTGATGTCATCAGCCTGGGTGTCAGTTATTTCATTTCCCTCAGTGTCCGATTGTTGCATTTGTTCCTCATCAATTAAGTTAAAAGTGTCATACTGTTCTGTGTCAGTGTTAAACACTTCAACTTTGGTGGCCATAAAATTGTACAATCCAAGGAAAGTAAGAGTGGCCTGACATTCCTCTTTCATTTTATTTTTAATCCTGCTTTGGTGCTGCTTTGAATACTCAGCAAATGTCTTTTTTTCAGGGCCCCTAATTCCTTTCTTGTTCTTCTTCTCAACTTTTTTAACAAGATTTTGAAACCTTTTTTTCAGATAATTGCAGCTCCTCTCTGTGTCGCCGAGTTTTTTCTCGAGTTTCTGTCGCTTAGTTGTTTCATTCGCTAAAGATTCTTCCAGTGTTCGTTTCTTCCCTCGTAAATCCTGATTCTCCTTTTCGATAACGTATTTGTGAAGTTCGTGATAAAATATCTTCACCTCATAAGTTTGGTCACGCCATTTGTTTATGATTCTTTTGACACCGAAACCTCCACTTTTCTTCTTGACTCTTTTGAGTTCGGCACACAGCGACCCAATCTTTTTCCGAACGACATTTATTATTCTCTTGTTCACAACAACACCGCGAATGCCCGTTTCTTGAAAGATCTTCTCCACGATTGCAGCGAAGGCAGACTCGCCACTACCCTCTTCATTCTCTTTGGCAATTGTGTAGAGGAAATAGCTGAAAGTTGGATAAAACGACTGGGATAAGATATATGCGAGACTATTAGCAATGAAAATTTAATTCATTAGTTGGTGTCCGGAAAAAATGGAGACAGTTAATTTTTAAGTTCTTATTAATAACTTACTTGTTGATACTGCATGTGAAGAAAGGTGGCGGATGGCCCGCAAATCCATTATTTTGATCTTCCGATCCATCTCCCACAGCCTTCACGGATCCGCAGAAAGCGAATAATAGGAACACCAGAAGTCCTCCAACTTTAACGGCGATTTGACCCATCCAAAATACTCGAAAACAAGCCGAATTATATACCAAAATAAAGGAAATGTTTCGATCTATTCGAATTTGGCGGTAAAATCGAGATCCGAGCATGCGTAGAAGAGTACGGACCCATTGTTTTCACACTGGCGTGAAATGACCTTTGATCGTCTTTAAATATTGCGCAAACTTGATTTGAAAACTTGAATTTTGACCCATTAAATCTTAAGATTTTGGTATTTTAAAACGTCTTATACAATAGCTTTAATATTAATTTTTTATAATTCGTTGGTAAAACTGATCGCCGTTGAAATGTTTTTGAGTAATCTTGTAAAATGTTTCAAATCTTAGGCGTTCTTGAGTCAGACATTGGTGGGGGCGTGATCGCCGGAACTTGATAGAAGCTTTTGTTAACACTGAGTTTGATATGAAATATCTAAAGAAAATGTGGTGCTCTGTCGGTGAGGGTTTTTACAAGATATCATCAACTCAGTTGAAAAACCAAATTATCTTGTTATACCCTCACCGACGCAACACCACAGTTGCCTCTCAAACTATGTTGAGCTCTATCAAATTTTTAGGGTAGAAACCAAGCCATCATATACAGGCCTAAACAATTACGCAACTTTGATTGAAAATTAATCAATAATTATTTAATAGTTATTTAATCAAGTGTTATTTAAAGGGTTATTTAAGAAAACTAAAGGGATAATCTAAAATTGCTCTTCGTAAACGACAATAATGAAAAAAACTGAACGAAAATTTCACAGCTAATTTTCAAAAAAAGGCAAGCTCTTTCAGGTTTTTTTAGTCAGAAAGTTGCATTTTGTGAAAACATCATTCATGACTCAATGTTCTGTCATCGTTTCTTTCTCGTTTAAATTTACCTCCTCGTACAGAATAACAGCAAAATGGAAACGACGGCCTAAGACATGCGTCTGATGAATGGCTAGCCCGCCGAGCAGGTGTAATTTTGGCGAGCGAGTGTTCAGTATTTTCTTAGTGAAAATTATAGCTGCCATCTTTAATTCTTACAGCAGCAAAATATAGGGGAAAGAAAGCAATTTGAATCGAAGGGATAGCGACGGTCAAAAGTAAGGAGAAGGAAGGTGGTGGGAAATTGAAATTTTCCGCCTTTTCCGGCCCCCTAGCCCCACCGTATACTCTAGCTAGAAATCAAATATAGCTGGTCAAATAAACGATCGCCAGCTTATTACGTTACTCGCTCTAATAAGACGACAGCTCCGCAGGCTAACGAATAGCCTAAATTTAGTCTGAAGTCTTTCCTCAAGACAACATGTTGTCCAGAATTCGCCGAAAGTATAAAATAACGTAATGTAGTCATGAGTCGTTGAGTAGATATCGTTCATCCTTCTCAATGCTTTTATCACCAGCCATTTCAAGTTGAAAATATGTTGCCAGTAACTGGCTTGATGAAGAAATTCGTTGAAAATGTTCTGAAAGATCATAAAGAAAAAAGAAAAATTATTGATCCTTCTGACTATCGATGTCTATCAACTAACATGGACTAAGAGGGATCAGAATTTTCCAGACCGTTTCTCATATCATAAGAATATCATCAAGACAACAAGAAGTTTTCCGCTAACGCAAGAAAAATGTTACTGAAATGGAATGGTCTCCTACGGGATCTTCATTGTTTACTTAGAAATTACATGTTTATCGGCCTAAAGACCATTGTGCTCTATACAAATGCGGGCTACAAATGAACGGTTGAGCTCGTGCACACAGCGTAGCTAAATTGTTGTCATCTGTTCTCATCAAGTGATTCTTATGCAGGACTCAATTTAAGGGCCAACCATAGGGAATGTTTCGATCAAAATCGTTCAAACCTTAAAAAATTCATTAATAATTTCGAAGCTGGAAAGAACCAATTTGAAAGAATAAATTTAAAATGGTTTTATTGGCACCTCGCAAAAAACAATATCTTAGCACAATGGTAAAATTTGTTAACTAACAGTGGAAAATTGTTATTTAACGGAGGACACAGTCCCACAAATGACAAAGATATTCTACCTTTTAGTGCTCGATGCCTTACTGTTTTCATTTCATTAAGATTTCTAAGGACCCTAAATTTCCAGAATGATGCAAGCTTAACTCTTAAACCTACGTAGTTTTCCATAACTTGCAAATAAAAGTCTTTCGTTGTAAAGTGACAATATATCAACACGAAGGACTGACAACAAATGTTATTATTTACTTAAATAAAAGGTGTATTTGTCTACTCTTTACGTTGGTCGCAAAAAGTTTAAAAATTGCTAGTTATCTCATTTTAGTTACCATGGAAGATCTATACAAACTTACAACCTCGGAAACTAGTCAGAAGACTTTAACTTACGAGCTGTAGAACACATTCACTCATAGAACAGTGTTAGAGTGTTAGAGTAATCAAATAAACTATGTTAAAGTTGCTGAAAGTTGGTATAGTGATGGTAAAGACATAACAGTACAAAACAATTTACTAGGTAATGACATGGTAAACATTACACATGACAGTCCTTGTTACATCCATCTGCACAATGATTTGACAGGACTTTTAGAAATGAGAACGCAGACACACGGTTCTTCGTAATAGTCTGAGGCAGTAGTACGGCACTCGTATGACTTGAGATAAGGCCGCAAGCACCACCAGGATGCAGGCTATAGCTGGTAGAAAGCCAAGCAAAGCGACTTCCATCCACTCCAACGCGTAGAAAAGGTTCTCTCTTGGTCCAGTAGGCTCGAGTCCCTGGGCGATAAGGGTGACTTCTGCTAGGTTGAAAGTGCAAATAGCAACAAGGCTCATAAGAGAAAGAGCTTCACATATGTTGGCCTTACGGTTACGAAATGGTCTCGACACAAGATGATGCACCAGAGTTACAACACATGCGAAATCCAAACAGATGAATCGCGTTAAAGGATCAGTGATGAAGTTACGAATGGTCAGTAGTAGGAACCTCCGACCGGTCAGCACACTCTCCCAGTACAATGTACCATGGTCATCACCACAGGGTGGACGGAATGGATCATGGAGAACTTTCTTAATTTCTTCGGCGTCGTGGGTATTCCCCCAAAACAGTTTAAACTCGTGCAAACTTGGTTTCTTGAAAACGTAACGATAGAGCCACATGAAAAGAAAAGGCAAAGGAAATGCACAGGAAGTCAAGAACTCCTTGGCGGACAATTTGTCTTTGGAAAGCATCAGCGATCCCCAGAAGAGGACGAGCACAAGGGGAATGATAAATACCAAGATGAAGACAATTTGCATGTACTGCCACCACTGCCAACAGTGGATGTTTCCGTCTATGAACAGACGCCACTCCCGCCCTACGGGAACGCAGTGCATGAGCTTCAGAGATGTATCTGCTAGGGTCTCGTAGCCTAGTAACAGGGTCTCCAGAACCACAGCCAGGTATAGTGTAAGGGAAGGTTTAGGAATGTGCCGGAACCGACTTATGACTCGATGGATGGCATAAATTATGGCAATGGAGAGCAACGTCGCTAAGAACTTCAAGCACAAAAACAGCTCTTTGGTTACAACATTGAAGCCAGGAAATGGGCATCCAATGCTGCCATTAATGGTCCGTATCTGGAAATTAAAAAGTGCAATGACTGGTGTAACAAAAGGAACTATGTGAAGGGCTGCCTCAGGGGACTTGATCATCAGTATTTCAGCAACTTGATAAAAGTAGAAGATGGTCTTGAAATACCCAGCATCGTGTTCTTCATCGTTTCCTTCATGTGGTGCTGCCTGTCTTTGGCTGCTGTTGGATTTCTTTCTAAACCAAAAGCATTGCCGGTACAGCCACGGGAAGATAGGCGGCTTGAAAACGAGGTAGAGAGACAACATTATTACGTAGATTAAACTCGCCATCCAAAACCAGTGATCATGGCATTTTTCTCTCTCTCGACAAGATGTAGAATATAAGTCTTCGCTGAATCCTTCAGTACATTGGCCGCATAAAACGCCTGTCCTGCTGCCATGGCAACCATTAAAAGCATAAGTATTAGGACGGGTAGGAGGTCGACAGTATTCCAGTGGACAGGGATGAAACTCCAGCTTAGTTGATAGTGATGAAGAGTAGCAGCCCCAAAAGTTTTCTTGGGCTTCGATGTCTCCATTTTCACACGTCGCCCCGTAAGGACATTTAAGACATTTTGTTTCCTTGTGAATATCCAGACCACTGGAAGATCCTCTTTTTAAATTATAGAATCCATCCTGACACTCTTCACAAAAAAATTTGACATAAGCTACGCTTATCCAGCAAGTCTTACCTTCTCTAACAAGTTCGAAACCGGCTTGTCTGGCGATGTTTTTGAGCGTGATCTGTTTTCCATCTGGACATTTGAAGGAGGTCGAACTGTCGATCTTAATCGTATTGCTTTTCGTCACAGCAAAGATTGGATCGAATTCTTGATTAACGTCTGCTACAAAAGACGAATTTTGAATCTTTAATGGACCAGCGCTCTCAGATCTAAGAAAACAACCAACGGCTGACACGTTGGAATGACCTATCAAATTTGTTTCTTTTTGCAGGAAACTACAATTATTGATGTTCAGAATGCCGAAGCCTGTCTTCATATATACATGACCTCCCAAAGCCACTCCCTCATTGTTTTTAAATGCGCAGTTCTTGATAGTGACGTTGCCATTCAAAAAGCTCAATGCTCCAGCGATGCCCACGTTGTTTTCAAATAAAGTATCTTCAATTATAACCGGTAGCTCTGACTTCTTGTCCCAGACCAGTTCCTTACTTTCATTTCCTTTTGTTGCACGTGGACATTTCGGCGGATCGTCCTTCGGAAATTCAATTTGGATAGTTGCTCGTTCATATAATCGATTCACAAACTGATAATTGTTGAGAAATCTGCAGTTTTTCACCGAGATGAGCCCTCGTATGTTTTTTTCGGTACTAACAGACAGTGCACAGTCGTGTAACCCGTGGAAAGTGACATTTTCAAGAAGTAGTTTTGCTTCAAAATCTGGCGACAAATACACCTCTTCTTTGCTAGGTTTTAAGACTGCACGGGTATAGTTCTGTTTAGGGAAACTCATTCCAAATCTGATTGCATCACCAGCGCCTAATGTTTCGTTACCTCCCAGTATAAGACTGTTTTTTACAACAAGCGTTTGGTCGCCCGTTGAACAATACCGAGCCGTATTATCTAAGCAAGTGGTCGTTGACATCCTTATGCCAATCCGGTTGTCCACCAAGACGCATCTTTCAAGGAAGACCTTTACACCTGGCGCTTTAATGGATGTTTTAGGGGGAGCACTGGCAATGATAGCATACCCGTATGTGGAATGAACCGTTACGTGAGTCAAATTTACTCCAAACCCGCCGTGCACAAAGACAGAATTTTCGTTGTTAAGAAACGACGTGTTTAATAATGATACATTCCCGTCGCCAAAGAGGTTGTCAACTCTTACGGATACAGCGAAGCTGTTGTCTTTATGGCCAAGGTCTTGGAAAATAGAGTTAGTAATTGAGACTAAGACACGAATAGGATACGTTATAACTGAACTAGCTTGAGAACGGACAAACACGGCACCTGTTATCTTTCTATCATCATTTGTAACATGAAATCGTCCCCTCGCATCCTGGAAAAGACATCTTGATATGGTCATCTCAAAGAAGTCGTTAGGGAGCATGACAAGAATAGATTTTGCATTATACTGGAATTTACTATCAGTGGCTACAAGACTACTCTTTTCACGGATGACGTAGTTAATCTCATTCCAGAACAGACCAACGGCTGCCTTAGAGAAGTTGAAAAACTTGCATTTGGCGATGACGATATCAAAGGAGGACACATTGAAGAGGGCTACACCATACGTGCCATTGTCGAAAAGAAGGTTTGAGAGAGAAACTTTGACGGAACCGATTTTCAACTTTGGACCAAATTCTATGCTGAATGTGTTGTTGCGGAATTCACTATCAGTAACCTCAAGTGAAGACTTTTGATTGATGAAAGAAGAACCCTGACTTCCTTCCCACAGCATGAAAATGGCCCTCATGCAATTGATAAATTTGCAATCGGAGATGACGACATCATAAGAAGGCACATTGAAGAATACTAATCCATACCTGCTATTGTTGAATACAAGGTTTGAGAGAGAAACCTTGACAGAACCATATTTCGACCTTGATGCAAATACTAATCCACATGAAATGTGTGCCGGGGAGGATACACCCTGTATCGATACACTTTTCCCCACAGCTCTCAATTTCGTTCCATTAGGACCAACCGTTTTCAAACAATCGTATGGATTTGACTCACTGTCTATCCCATTGAGGCAAATTTTGCCACTATTGTTTACTAGAAGTAGCGCTTGTGGTAATGTCCGGCAGGGCACAGCAAAAGAGCCACACTGAGGCGAGTCTTCACCGCTGAGATGGGATACGTAAAGACAATCACTCCCTTGGTCTTCCGCACCTAAAGATAACGGAAGTTTCTTACAACAACGTGGAATTCAGTTGCAAAACGATGTAAAGTTAAGTAGGTACTTTGGATGTTCTAGGCGCAAAAATTTCGAAAGACTACTATTTCGTTGCAAACTGCCAGAGTGGCACATGCATGCATGCTTTCTGGACAGATGCCACCACCATAGAAATAATTATCAAGCTCTTACGAACCAAAAGTCATTAGTCATCGTACGATATTTATTTTAGAAGCAAGAATGCTGAAATAATCGTGTATATTCCTGTGCAGTATCTGAAATTTGGCACAAATCCATATCGTCAGTTACTCATATGGAATCTCCCTTGAAGACTAGAATCGACATAAATGTCTTGATTGTCATAGTTCTTCGGAAGTGCGCAGTCAGTGGGAATCTAACTGTAATGAAAGCTATGACAAAAGAGTGAATTGTACACCATTCACCCGAGAGCTGTCGGCCTCTTTCTTTGAGTAAACACAAGGTAAACGGCAGCACAGGAATCGAGAAAAAAAAAACAGTTTCATTGGAATCGAGCCAAACACGATATTATATATTAAATTTTATTAGCCTCAAAGAGAACACGTATTACGTTGATATATTGTATCTTATCTTTTAGATAATCAAGAAATTATTTTTAGTCTGTTTACAAAACATTACGTAATTGAAGGGGGATATCCCACGGTTAGCAATGAGGAATAACTCAGCCAACAGAAATCTAACTTACCTCGGCAGGAGTAAATAAATTAATATACGTTGGATTACCTAGGAACACTCTTTAACCGAACATTACTTATTTTCCAAGTAGATTCCAATAACGTCGTTATCTCACTAGATGGTTTTTATTTTTCATTATCCTGATGAAATGCTAATCGTCATTAGGGACTAAAGGCAACAAAACAGGGTCGAAATAGTTCTGTTTGTTTTCAGTCTCGTTTGTTGGTCATGTGATGGGAGAGCTCTCTATCGGAACATTACCTACTTTCCAAAGTAGATTCCAATTACATCGTCATTACTAAAGGCAACAAAACGAGGTCGAAATAGTTCGAACGCCGAATAAATTGGGACAGTATTAGGTTTTTTACTTGTTTGTTGGTCATGAGATGACGAAAGTGAACAAATTTATTCCTTAATTTGACAAGGATATCAAAACTCTATTGAAACTTTGATTTATTTTAGTAAGGATCAATATAACAACTGGCCGCTAATTTCTGTGTCCGGTTTAGCAAGCTTCTGGAACTGGTTGGTGCTTACCAAAACACGAAGAACTCAAAAATCTCAGATTTTAAAAGACGAATCGTGTTTGGTTTTGGTTCCTGAGAAATCATGACCAGCGTGTGTTTTTATCCGCAACGATTTAGGACTCCGAGGACTGAGCGAAATGTTCAAAAACAACCATATCCTAAGGTAATACACAATTACAAAACTTACCCTTAATATTCAAGCCTCTATTGTTTTGAAGGGAAAAAACATGCGTGGATACGAATGCGATGCTCAAATGTGTGTTGTCATTCTTAAAAATAAGTCCAACGTTGGCTTAAGTAAATTTCAGTTGAATACTCCGTTCCACAGGCCTTGAAAGCTGATATTAAACTATAACCTTGAAACGAGATTACAGCAACTTTTTCCATTGAAAGAGGTTAAAGGAAACTTTGCAAAAATTTACTTACCAGTAGAGCGTATAACAAGAAGAATTAAAGAAAATAACTCGAAAACTGAGAGGCACAGCAGCGAATACATCACAGTGAACGCGACACTGCTCGGAACTGCTCTGTCGTATAAATCTGATACACTTTGTTCCTTAACCGCTGTTATATATTCATTGATCACCATGGGTACTCGATGTAAAAAAACTATACGATAATAATATTGATAACAACTTTGTTAGTTACTTTTGGACAATACGTCTGCTTGGGTGAGCTAACAAAGAAAAAAACGAACAAACACGAAAGTTTTCGACAAAATGAAAACCTTAAGTTATGGGTGAGAAATTAGAACGTGCATTCCAGAGAGAAGAATCGTTTTTCTTATAAAGAAAATAACGGAAAATTCAGGACTGAGGTTAATCAGGCGGTGAACCAAACGAAAGAGCCGTTTCGGAATGTATTGGCACTGGAGTTCGGAGAACAATACCAAAGCTTGAGTTGAAGTGCTGTTTATTTAGGGGCCTTGTCAGTAAGAAAACAAGGATTTTTGAAATGGATATCAATTAAAACATTACGTTTTGGCACGGGAAACATTTAATGTGAAAACTTTACATTCAAAATCTATTTGAGTGTCAAAATTTTGCAGAGTTATGACGATATAAGAGACGTCACGTCACATCAGTCGGTGTAATTATTTGCGAAGGGCGGCAATCGTCAACTTAAAGATGATAACAAAATATAAGTTACGTAAGAAGGAAAAAACATGAAAAAGGTAATAAATATAGTTAACTAACGACAGAGAAGGTCAACCCAAGCCTATAAAACTTTAAAGCAAATTGCGGAAGAAAAAATCGTGAATTAGCTCTTTAAAGTAAGATATATTTACTTGAGATAAAAAAGTAGGGTATGTTCAGAATAGAGAAAAAACAGTACGTATAGCGTGCTGCCGGCTTCTCGAACATACTTCGGATACATGAATGGTCTGATTCCGTGTTGAAATTCGGCGTGCTTGAGCTATGACAGGAAATTGTGAGTGATTTTATTGATGTGTAAAACCACTGATTACCTATTAATGAACACTTTGAACAAAATCTTACTACGTTAACTCGGACGGAATGACACAAAAGAGGCCATACGAAAGTAAGAGGGAACAAGGTTGGCTGAGAACTGAGAACATTTAAAACCAATTTGAGCTGTCAAAATTGGTATTTTCAGGCTTAATTTTCAGCATGAATAAAATGAACGTGGATGCCACGGTTGCATGGGGTACTGTAGGTTCCGGTTCTTTAGATTGGAAAGAAATTTACTCGAGTGAAGCAAAGTCGCAGAAATTTCAAGCCAAGCACGGTCGATGAAAGCGAGGTCGTTTGCTCAACACTTGTTGAGTGGATGTCAACATTTCTTTCATGTTGCATAACCAAATGTTGACGACTGAACTGAACTAACTCCATGCCCGCCATCAATATGGAAATAAATTTACTGGAGTAGAGCTACGAAAATTCCGCCCGTAGCAGAATTAATTACAAATGGTTTGGAAAGCTGTGCATGAATATTAAACTAATACGCCGGTTTTTTTTTTTGCATTGTAAAGTACAACTATACAAATAAATCATTTCGCTGTATCTTAAGGTCTAAGGAGAGCAATTTAATCGATTTAAGTCGCAGAAATTTAGGTCGAAACCGCATCCGAAAGCAAGGTCATTTAATTATGAAGCTCTTACGAACCAAACGTCATTAGTCATCGTACGATATTTATTTTAGAAGCAAGAATGCTGAAATAATCGAGTATATTCCTGTGCAGTATCTGAAATTTGGCACAAATCCATATCGTCAGTTACTCATATGGAATCTCCCTTGAAGACTAGAATCGACATAAATGTCTTGTTTGTCATAGTTCTTCGGAAGTGCACAGTCAGTGGGAATCTAACTGTAATGAAAGCTATGACAAAAGAGCAAATTGTATACCATTCACCCGAGAGCTGTCGGCCTTTTTCTTTGAGTAAACACAAGGTAAACGGCAGCACAGAAATCGGGAAAAAAAAACAGTTTCATTGGAATCGAGCCAAACACGATATATTATATATTATATTTTATTAGCCTCAAAGTGACACGTATTGCATTGATATCTTGTATCTTATATTTTAGATAATCAAGAAATTTTTAGTCTGTTTACAAAACATTACGTAATTGGAGGGGGAAAACCTCACGGTTACACAAATGAGGAATAACTTAGCCAACAAAAATCTAACTTACCTCGGCAGGAGTAAATAAATTAATATACGTTGGATTACCTAGAAAAGCTCTTAAACGGAACATTACTTATATTCCAAGTAGATTCCAATTACGTCGTTATCTCACTAGATGGTTTTTATTTTCATTATCCTGATGAAATGCTAATCGTCATTACTAAAGGCAACAAAACAGGGTCAAAATAGTTTTGTTTGTTTTCAGTCTCGTAAAAGTTGAGAAACCTGGCACTTATAGCAGCGTTTTGTAGTTAGACAGATCAATATCAAGGCGAGCATACTCGACATAAATGATGGAAGACGGTTGAAAATGGACAAATGGGAGATTAACACCTTTAATATTCCCTTCGATCTGAGAGAGGATGGATGTAACTTAGGAGAGAACTAGTTTTTCCGCTCGCCTTCATGAAAATACGCGCAATTGCTAAAGCAGTAGATAGCGTTGAAGGTGCGCTTTGATTAGCAACTCAGACTCCGAGTATCCTTTGCTTTACACCTCCGAGCAACGGCCGCAGGATTTACACCCGAAAATACTGTTATCGCTGCAGGAATAAATGAGTTAAAGTTATCTCTTTTGTGTTATATGATCTCACTGTCTCAGTAAGCGGCTCGGAAATTATCCACTTCTACATATTTCAACTTCGGAAACAGTAGTTAATTATTTCAACAGACACAAAACACATTTGAAAAAATCGATGTGACGTGAAAGGTATAAAGGCAGTTAAGTTAAACGCCGAATAAATTGGGACAGTGTTAGGTTTTTTACTTGTTTGTTGGTCATGTGATGACGAAAGTGAACAAATTTATTCCTTAATTTGACAAGGATACCAAAACTCTATTGAAACTTTGATTTATTTTAGTTAGGATCCATATAACAACTGGCCGCTAATTTCTGTGTCCGGTTTAGCAAGCTTCTGGAACTGGTTGGTCCAAAACATGAAGAATTCATAAATCTCATATTTTAAAACACAAATCGTGTTTGTTTTTGGTTCCTGAGAAATCATGACCAGTGTGCGTTTTTGCCCGCAATGATTTAGGACTCCGAGGACTGAGCGAAGTGTTCAGAAACAATCATATCCTAAGGTAATACACAATTACAAAACTTACCCTTAATATCCAAAACTCTATTGTTTTGAATGTATAAAACATGCGTGGAAACGAATGCGATGATCAAATGTGTGTTGTCTTTCTTAAAAATAAGTCCCACACTGGCTTGAGTAAATTTCAGTTGACTACTCCGTTCCACAGGCCTTGAAAGCTGATATTAAACTATAACCTTGAAACGAGATTACAGAAACTTTTTCCACTGAAAGAGGTTAAAGGAAACTTTGCAAAAATTTACTTACCAGTAGAGCGTATAACAAGAAGAATTAAAGAAAACAACTCAAAAACTGAGAGGCACTGCAGCGAATACATCACAGTGAACGTGAAACTGCTCGGAACTGCTCTGTCGTATAAATCTGATACACTTTGTTCCTTAATCGCTGTTATGTAATCATTGATCACCATGGGTACTCGAGGAAAAAAAACTATACGATAATAATATTGATAACAACTTTGTAAGTTATTTTTGGACAATACTTCTGCTTGACTGAGCAAAAGAAGAAAAAAACAAACAAACACGAAAGTTTTCGACAAAATGAAAACCTTAACTTATGGGTGAGACATTAGAACGTGCATTCCAGAGAGAAGAATCATTTCTTTCATAGAGGAAATAACGAAAAATTCAGGACTGAGGTTAATCAGGCGGTGAACCAAACGAAAGAGCCGTTTTGGAATGTATTGGCACTGGAGTTCGGAGAACAATACCAAAGCTTGAGTTGGAGTGCTGTTGATTTGAGGGCCTTGTCAGTAAGAAAACAAGGATTTTTGAAATGGATATCTGAAACATTAGGTTTTGGCACGGGAAACATTTAATGTGAAAACTTTACATTCAAAATCTATTTTAGTGTCAAAATTATGCAGAGTCATGACGATATTAGAGACATCACGCCACATCAGTCGGTGTAATTATTTGCGAAGGGCGGCATTCGTCAACTTAAAGATGACAAAATAATATAAGTTACGTAAGAAGGAAAAAACATGAAAAAGCTAATAAATATAGTTAACTAACGACGGAGGAGGTCAACCCAAGCCTGTGAAGTTTTAAAGCAAATTGCGGAAGAAAAGACCGTGAATTAGCTCTCTAAAAGTATGGTATTTTTACTTGAGATAAAAAAGCACGGTATCTTTCAGAATAGAGAAAAAACAGTACATATAGCGTGCTGCCGGCTTCTCGAACATACTTCGGATACGTGAATGGTCTGCTTCCGTGTTGAAATTCGGCGTGTTTGAGCTATGACAGGAAATTGTGAGTGATTTTTTGATGTGTAAAACCACTGACTTCCTTTTTAATGAACACTTTGGAAAAAATCTTACTACGGACGGACGGTATGACACAAAAGAGGCCATACGAAAGCAAGAGGGAACAAAGATGGCTGAGAACTGAGGGCATTTGAAACCAATCTGAGTTGACAAAGTCGGGAATTTCAGGCTTAATTTTCAGCGTGAATAAAACGAACGTGGATGCCACGGTTGCATGGGGTACTGTAGGTTCCGGTTCTTTAGAATGGAAAGAAATTCACTCGCAGAAATTTCAAGCGCAGCAGGGTCGATGAAAGCGAGGTCCTTTGATCGCCACTTGTCGGGTGGATGTCAATATTTCTTTCATGTTGCATAACCATATGTTGACGACTGAACTGAACTAAATCTCTGCCCGCCATTAATATGGAAAGAGATTTACTGGAGTAGAGCTACGAAAATTCCGCCCGTAGCAGAATTCATTGTAAAAGGTTTGGAAAGCTGTGCATGAA